GACCATTTGTTTAGCGACCATTCAAAGTTACGATGGTGCTGAAAAAAGTGATTTATGACCAGTCCTCACATTTACAACCATTGCAACATCCCCATGGTCACGTGATCAAAATTCGGGCGCTTAGCAACTAGCACGTACTATATTTACGATAGTTGCAGCATCCTGGAGTGATGTGATAGCTATTTGTGACCTTCTCAGCTGGCTTCTGACAAGCAAAATCAATGGGGAATAGTATGATTCACTTAACAACCATGTGATTTGCTTAATGACCGCCACAAAAAATGTAAAATCTGGTGTTATGTGACGCCTCACTTAATGACTGCACCGCTTAATGACAAATGTTCTGGTCCCTCTTGTGGTCATAAGTAGAGGACTACCCGTATATGCTTTCTTTCACTCTACCTTTGATCCCTAATTTCCTTTAATTTCAAAAACAAACACATATAGAGAGCCTGTTCAGTAAATTCTGGATTGCTTTTAAACATTTGAACTCACTGCTCTGGCATAGCACTTTGGAAGTACATTAGATTATTTCTCCACTGAACTCTAGTCTTTGTAACCTTTCTAATCTCCCTGATACAGTGTTCTTGAAATCTACAAATGTCCTTGTATGGGAGATACAGAGAGACATTAAGATAAAGAAAGGTTAGCAGGGACTTAGGAAAAAAATGATGTAATTTACTCACTATATAATCTTCATAATAGAATGTATGTCTGAGCTGAAGATGCCTTATAAAATTCCTGCTGTAATAACTCGGACTACTACCAGGTAGTAAACGACAGATTGGACAGTACTATAGATAGTTCAAGGGGAAAAAAAGTAAATAACTAATTTGTCATTAATAATGTACAAAATGAATTATTACTAAAAAATGGTGAATTATATCTAAATGGTGATAGTTGAATAACCCAGTATATAAGCTTTCAGACACAATGCCCTTTCTGCCAGCATTAAATTCAGTTTATTCTTTGCACAGCATATAGCATATATTAAAAATGCAATACAAGAATGTAAATATCCAGTCTGTAAATCAATTAGTCCTGTTATCTATCTAGGTCATGGGGAAAATACAAAAATAGTTCATGTTCCAAGAATGCTTTCAGTTTTATGCATCTGTAAACTTGTACCCTCTATTCACATAGACCTCAGTGGGGCATCAGAGATTACCAAATTCAGAGGTTAGACAGATCAATTATTTTATAAAGATCAAAATTATCTGGGTTCACACAAAGTAAGCCATAAACCATGGTTTATAAACTACAATGGCTGGATTAATGCAAAATGCACCCATCCCACCTGATCATACAGAGAGGGCATGCTTCGGACCCCCTCAGTAAAAGAACTCCGATTAGCAGAGTCCAGAAGGCGGGCCTTCTCTGTGGTAGCCCCCACTCTTTGGAACGTTCTGCCCCTGGAGGTGCAACTGGCCCCCTCACTCCTAGCCTTTCCGAAGGCTTTGAAGACTTGGCTCTGTCACTTGGCCTGGGGTAGGGAGGGAATACTTCAAGCATGGGGATGGCTAGCCCCAGAGAGGCCTGCTGTCTCAGCCCCAGATTCTTCATATTCTTGGACTCTTTTCCTTTTTTAGTAATGTTTTTTAACTTTGATGTTTTATGTATTTATATATATTTATGTTTTTAATGTTTTGTGTGAGTCGCCCAGAGTTTTCCATTGGGGGGAGATTGG